CCTCAGACACTGGGTCCGGGAGGTATGTGGGAAAGACACGAGGGTGAAGCAGGCATGGGCCTTGTCCCCTGGGACCTCTCCCCAGGTGGGGAGAAAAGGCGAGTGCACAGAAAACCAAAATATACACTGGCGATGTGGGGCAGGTCTCACTTCTGGTAGGCAGATGGAGGCTTTGGGTGGTGGCCGGAGAGAGTGACCACATCTTCCCTGGCATGGGGGCCCTTGCGTCTGCCGCAGCCTATGGCTCAGAGTCCAGGGTTCACGCGAGGAGGCCTCACACTGCCATGTTCCTGGTTGCACAAAACACCGGACCTTCCCGGCTCCCTGCTGCTGTCTGTCCATCAGGTGTCTGAGGCCCTGAGAAAGGCTCTCTGCACTCTCCTGGGTAACACTCGGCCACTCTCAGAGGCCAGGCTGACAGACCCTCAGGAGGCAGAACCAGTGACCCCCATGAGGCAGAAGAGAAACATTCCGTCTCCAAACTGCCTCCTGCTGTCCCCCCCCCCCCGTCTCTGCGATCCTTCGGGTCATGTTGGAGGCGATGATCTCAAGAAGGCCCACACCTTAGTCCGCTAATGTGTTACCAACAGTGGCGTCTTATACAGAGGTGGTTTATTAGCCCCTGCTCTCAAGGTTTCCCTGAGAGAAGCACAAATCTCTGAGAAAGGAAACACCAGGGGCCTCGACCACTGCCCCACTAGCTGGTCGAGGCTCTGAGTCCCCGGGTGCACGCGGAGAGTGCCAGGTATGTAAGAAGGGGAGAGACTCAGGGTCCGCAGAGGTGAAGCCTGGAGGCCTACGCCACACTCCTGTCTCTGCCTGTCTGCTCTATGGTTGCCGAGTGCATAGTTGGAAGGGGAACGTTTTACAGGTGTATTTATCAACCTACATTTTAAGGGTTTCAGAATGGCAGCACCTAGAAAGGGCCTTAGAGACCATAATACGGGCAAGAGTGAGGTGCAGGTAGGTGAAGTGAGTTGCCCTCACTTGGCTAGTGAGGATCAGGCCTAGCTCTCTCTGGACTCCCTTACGGACAGAGACAGATCGCCCTTCCCCAGTGCAAGGCAAGCAATCATCTATTTGTCCACTGCAGACTTCCGATGGAATGTTCCCAAGAAATAGGCCACTCCTTAGATCGTTCGATGAACATCTACTGTACTTGGCAGGAGCCATTAATGGAGACCAGGAAGTAAACCACACAACAGGGGGCCCCCCGTGGGTAGTAGATGAAATGCATCTGATACCACATCTGGCCCACAGTAAGGGCGAGATAAACAGGGACTTCTATAAAAGTCTTCTTGTGAGATGGAAGGGGAGGGGTTAAGGCAAGGGTCAGACGGTGACCAAACTCACATGAAACCCCGAAAGGCTGGGGTTTGCTCTGGAGACCATGTGGATGCAGAGTTTAGAGGAATGGCATCATCAGATTTCAGGAAGGTCACTCTGGCCAAGATGTGGGAGGATGGGAGTAAAGAAAAGGAGATTTAGCCGCACAGTTTGCAACAGAGTCCAAGTGACCCGTGATAAAGAGTGAGAGAGAAAGAGTGAGCAGGGGAGGGGCAGAGAGAGAGGGAGACACAGAATCCAAAGCAGGCTCCAGGCTCTGAGCTGTCAGCCCAGAGCCTGACACGGGGCTCGAACTCACGAATTGAGAGATCATGACCCGAGCCGAAGTCAGACGCTTAACCAACTGAACCACCCAGGCGCCCTCCAAAAAAATTGTTTTTAAAAAGAAGTATAGTTCAAGGTGGGTAGGAGAGGTCAAGATTTCTATATTGAAGGTAGAGAAAGCAAAGAAGGCAGAGAAAAGGCAGGTCCTGGCCCCAGGCTCTGGGCACAAGTATGGTGGCCGTTACCAAGACAGGGCCCCTAGGTACAACTTTAGGGGAGAAGGAAAGGAGGTCAACTTAGAAAAAGTGATTTTGGGGATGCCTAAGGCACAGCCAATGGGGAGAGGCCCTGGGGGCGTATAGCTCAGGAGAAGGGTCTGAGCTTGAGGACCCAATAGGCAGAAACCAGCCCTGAGGCAACAGCCAAAGCAGCAAAGGCAGGAGGAGACGTGCCACTCGACGAATTTTCCTGACGGCCCTAGAAAGGGAGGGTCCCTGCTCTCAAAGAGGTTACCTTCTGGGGAGAAGAGTCGGGACACACACCCAGACATATGCACATAAATAAATGAAAGAAAAACATGAGCTAGTGAGAGCACCCGGAACGGAGTCTCATGTGGGGCGACGGAGACTGGCTGTGTAGTTCCTTCGCCTTTCGGGAAAGGGTGTAAGGCACAGAAGAGAGAGGTGAAGGGGCGCCTGGGTGGCTCAGTTGGGTGAGCGTCCGACTTTGCCTCAGGTCACCATCTTGTAGTTCACGGGTTCGAGCCCCGTGTTGGGCTCTGTGCTAACCGTGAAGAGCCTGCTTTGGAGTCTATGTCTCCCAGTCTCTCTGCTCCTTCCCCACTCACGCTCTGTCTCTCTCTCTCTCTCAAAAATAAACATTAAAAGGGGGGGGATCACGAGCTAGGGGCCCACAAGCACAGAAGGCACAGTGCCTGACCCCAAACATGTGACGTCCTGACTCCTGATCTACGTTCTCATTGGGAGACAATGCCGCCAAACCAGAACCTCCAGGGATGATTCTAGCAGGTCATCACTCCATTCAGGAACTAAGATATTTACAGAGCCCAGCGCTAGGTGTCAAGGACAGGGCCATGAAGAGGACTGTCGAGGTAGGTGCCTGGCCCTCAGGAAGCTTCCAGTCTCACAGGAGAAGACACCCAAGCACATACGTGCCTAGTGCAGTTGTCCACACAGAGGAACCGCAAGTGGTACTAACCGCTGTGAAAACCACCACGAGAAGGCTAAGGCTAACAGGGAGCGATGGACTTTGGGCAGGACAATCGGAAGAAAAGCCCTGCCGAGAAAGTGTCATTTCCGAGGAGTCTTAGGGGCGCCTGGGTGGCTCAGGAGGTTGGGCGTCCGACTTCGGCTCAGGTCGTGATCTCATGGTTCTTGAGTTCGAGTCCCACGTCAGGCTTTGCGCTCAGAGCCTGCTTCGGATCCTCTGTGCCCCCCTCTCTCTCTGCCCCTTCCTCACTTGCACTCTCGCTCGCAAAAATGAATAAACATTAGGGGAGAAAAAACTCACTCAGGAGGAGTCTTCGAGTTTCAAGTGTGCGGTGAAGAGGACTGCGGTGTGGCACAGCCTGCGTTCTGAGCAGGGGGAACGGCACCCGCACGGGCTTGGAGACAGGAGAGAGGCTGACATGTCTGAGAAGCCAGGTGGCAGCCGGCAAGGCCAGAGGACAGGGCTGGGGAACGAGCAGTGAGAACACTGGAAACACAAACCGAGTCACAACACTCAGGGCTCAGGCTGGCTGCACTCAAGTGCCTGGAGCGTACTGGAAGGTCAACGGCAAGGCCCTGAAGGGTCCCGCAGGCCGGGCATGACCTGAAGGAATTTCTGGCCGGGAAAGGGTCTAAAGATGGGGGCGGTGAGGGGGAGGCGGCGGGGGCTGCTGGGTCTCTTGGGTCACGTGATGCCTCGAGGCTGTCCTCCCTGACGTGGCCAGGCGAGCCTTTATTCCACTCACAGTCCGGGTCAGGCCTCCATCCGCAGGGCAACTTTTCAAACTCCTTGGATCTCCTGCCCGGCCTAAGTGCCTCCCCAAAAGTCCCATAAACTCTCTCAAGTGCTTCCAACGGGCTTTGCCAGAGCGCTGGGAGAATGGGTGCCTTTGAAAAAAGGGACACAAAATAATCACACGAAACCACTCCCTCATTTCTGGTGGAAGTGCGTTTCCTCCTCTACTGCTTTCCATTAGGCCGTGGCCTAAGCAATTGTCTTTGCCCTTTTCTCTGTCTCCGTTTATTTTCCAGAAGGCCCCGGACATGTGTACTACTGTGAACAAGAACAAGGAACTATAAATTCTTATTGATCCCAGAAGGTTGGCGATTCTAAACAATAAAAATATGTCCTGACCGCTGCTCTCCTAAGAACATTTTGGAGACACAAAGGAGCTTTGTTAAAACAACACGGGAGTTCTGGGGACACCGTGGGCCGGACGGTGGCCTCGGGTCACCAGGTATTGATGCCATGGGCGACGCCAGTCCCAAAGCTGGACGACCTCCCTGACGGCTTCTCCTGGGCTCTCACTTCCTCATTGGTCAGCAAGCGAGTTTCCTAAATAGCCCTCAGCCACTATTGTTTCCAGAAGCCAGAATTCTCAGCCCAGAGAGAAAGTCCTCTTTGTCCTCCCATCCATGATTTAATTTACATTCTCCTGAACGCTCCATTCACTTTGTTTTCAAGGCTAAGAAGTCTCACAATTGTACTAGGTCCTGGCTTTGAATTTCCCTGTGTTTCCACTGTTTGGCAGTTTGCCCGGGTCAGCCACTGGACAGTCTCGGAACCCGGCCCCACCTTAGAGAAAACCTTTACTGCTCATGATCTCTTACTGCGGTTCCAACCGCTGTCATGTATCTTCTCCGCGATGGCTGTATTTTTAGGTTTTTCAAGATACACAGATGCGTGTAAGCAGATCTACGCACGGATGCACACGTATCACGTCTTCTCGGATAATCAAGAGAGTGTCCACTATCTTTTCCAACCGCATCGCATTCCCCGGAGAGCTGGCCCTCCCTTTGTTCCCCAGATTTCAGAGGGGGGCCTTGAGCCGCATTTTCTCCTGCCCTTCTCACTCAGAGGCACTCCTGGCCACCCGTCAAGCCTTGAATACCATGACTCACAAGACAATGGAACTGACTTTCTGTGCTTTGGTCTCTCTGTTCTTGCCCATAAACTTCATTTATATGCAAGTGCATCAACTTTACTAGGAATGGGCCAAATTTATCACAAAGGTATGGGCACAAAGAAATGTCAAGCCCTAATAATAAGAATAAAGTACACAGTAAATTATTTAGGAAGCGCTAGGGAAGAAACTGTTCTTTGCTCTTCGGAGGATCTTGAAGGGAAAACAGACTGTCGTTAGCAGAACTCTGGCTTACCTGAATGTATTATAATCCACCGTCTTTGTAAACTCAGGGTCAGCATCTCTGAATACCTGCTTGACCTCTCTGGATTTTGACTGTTCTTCTTTCAGCTTTTGTAGGACAAGTTCAATGCTGCTCATGGGAAACTGAAAGGGGGGAGAAGAAAGGGAAGATATTTAAACATGCCTGAGACACGGGGAGCCCCATCTATCCGATGGCCATCAAAGAGACTTCATGCTCTGAACTTGAAGGCAGCTGGCCGTGGCTTTCCACGGAGACCCACATAGAGAAAACAAGGCTAGGCTTAAACCTCTTCGGTCATAGTTTTAGGACGAGTGGCATTCGCTCAGGCCCAGATCGGAAAGAAATGAGCTTAAGGGACAGTATGCCATTGGAATCCGAAAATAATCTCTTTCCACCTCAGCCTTCTCCCCTGAACCCTCGGACAGTTGGCCCAATATGTTGGGAGACCCTGATGGAGAGAATGGGGATTTAAAATTGGGTAAGTGGACCCCCGTTTTCTTCAGATCTTAAGCGTGGGGCCCCCCGGGGCTAATAGCCACCAGACGATGCACCGGGCAGAACCTGGCCGGGTATCAGAAGATACACACACACCGTAATCCTCTGACATTCGCTCTCTGGCAATCCCCAGCTCCCAGCTCCTACCCTGTGATTAGGTTTTTGACTCTGCAAAAATACTTCTTATTCGATCCGGCAAAGCATAAGCTTATAAATAATTGCAGCTAAGAGCTAAGAAAAAAAAAAAAAAAAGATAGAGAAGACTAACTCTGAAGACTAAAAACACTGATGTTATAATTTAGTATAAAGGTCCCTCTTTTCCACCAGGGGGTTTGGGACCGACTACAGCCTCTTATCTTCCCCCTACCTTCTGCATTTCCTTTAATCTATGTCCATGATTGGATCTATAAGCTCTTCTGAAAAGGCTCCTCAGATTGATATTAAAGAGTATATATTAATCTTCCTTGGCATAGAAAGTCCTTGTTAAGGGTAATTTTCAGATAATGCAGGTTTCACGTGGGCTGCCGAAAACAGATAATGTCCTACCCTGCTTGTATCTTTCTGAAAGGAGAAAAGCCTTTTGTATCTTACACACAGAGTAAAGCCTTGGATTGCGAGCAACTTGTTCAGTGAGTGTTCCGCAAGACAAGCAAGTGTCTCTCACAAATTTTAACTCGATCGACAAGCGATGTCTTGCGATACGAGCAGTACTTGCCGCTGAATGTCAGTCACATGATCGCAACTGAGCCAACGGTTCTTGAAATTTGCCTTGATATATGAGTGCTTTGGATTATAAACAGGTTTCTGAAACAAATTCTGCTCACAAACCACGGTTTTACTGTATATATATATACACACATACATATATATGTATGTATACACGCCTTCTATGTAGACATAGAGGTTCACCCTGTGTTTGAAAACCACGTCCTAATTCCCAATAGCTACTGCAGATCGTACACTGACTGAGCCTGCTATGGGCTGCACAGAGCTAAGCGCTTCACACACATTATCCGCACCTACGCTTCAGAGTAACTCTCTGGAACAGTCACTGTTTAAAGATGAGGAAAAGTGGAACTCAGGGGAAGTACATGTTTAAGGCCTCTTGGCCAGTAAGTGTGGAGTTAGGTTTCCTTCCTAGCTGAGCCTACTGGTCTCCAGAAGTCTAACTGCCCACTTTTCAAGCCTCTCACCTGAATTCTGTGCTTCTGAAGGGCTCCCGTTCTGTTCTATGCTAACCCGACGTCCTAACACCATCGATGGAGAAATGGTGGGGCAACCCCGGGGAGCACTGCCTGGGACTATCATCAAAACAGACCATGAAGAGGGGGCGCCTGGGTGGCTCAATTGCTTAGGTGTCCGATTCTTGGTTTCGGCTCAGGTCATGGTCTCATGGTCGTGAGGTGAAGCCCACATCGGGCTCCATGCTGGCAGCCCAGAGCCTGCTTGGGGATCTCTCTCAACTCCTCTCTCTCTGCCCTTCCCCCACTTGCACATGTGTATGCGCGTGCTCTCTCTCTCTCTCTCAAAATAAATAAACCTTAAAAAGAGAGAGATCGTGCAGAGGAGAGCTGACGGCCTGCGGTTGCTGTACCGTCGCGATTGCTTCGAGCATTCCTGCCAAGGCCATACTCTGCCCAGGCTGTCTTCCTCCCAGGGACCGCGATGGGGGCACCAGGGCTGGGCCATTCCTGCCTGACTTGGGACTTCTACGGGTAGCCTTTGCTCTCAGGCTCCCCATCGGCCTGGCTGGCACTTTCGCAGAGCTGCATGGGGTCTCAGACCTTTCCTACCCCAACCTCCCCCCTTCCCTCTCCTTTCTCAGGGCTCAGACCTACATTTCGGTCTCCACACCAACTCTTGCTCCCGCCCCGTTTATCCTTCATATGCGTTTCTCCCGGTGCCTCACTTGCTTATCTAACTCAGCCTTGGTACCCGCTGCTCAGAGGACCCAAACGCACAAGGATGGGATGATATATGCAGAGAGACTGATCTTAGCAACTTACTTCTGAGCATTTTATATATAAATGAAAGAGAACTAATACCGTACCATACACACACACACACACACACACACAGCTAGCACATAAATATTATTATTACTTACAGGCAGACATTTACTTTTTTTTATCTGAGAGGTAGAGAGGGTGCAGGCAAGTCAGGGAGAAGGGCAGAGGGAGGGAGAGAGGGAGAGGGAGAGAGAGAAAACGAATCTGAAGCAGGCCCCACGCTCAGCGTGGAGGTGGATGCCGGGCTCGATCCCACAACCCTGGGATCATGACATGAGCCGAAGTCAAGAGTTGGATGCTCAACCAAATGAGCCCCCCAGGTGCCCCTACAGGCAGACTTTTCTGGACAGATTTTTCTTTTCTTTCCTTTCCTTCCTTTCCTTCCTTCCTTCCTTTCTAAGTTTATTTGTTTTGAGAGAGAGAGAGAGCACGATCGGGGTGGGAGAGCAGAGAGAGGGAGGGAGAAAGGGAATCCCAAGCAGGCCCCACACTATCAGCACAGAGCCTGGGGTGGGGCTCAAACCCACAAAGCTGTGGGATCGTGACCTGAGCCGAAACCAAGAGTTTTGAAACCGACTGAGCCTCCCCAGGTGCCCCCAGACAGGTTTGTCGGTATCAGGCAAGGACTCGCAAATACACGTGTTTGCACACCAAGCCAGTCCACACTTGAAATCGAGATTTTATCAACATGTTATTTTTCCACAACAGCATTGTCACCCCGGTCCTTTCGGTAACAGGACCCATCGGCCACCTCCTTTCAAACGAAAAGACTCTCTGAGCTCACACTGCCAGCTGGTCCTTGAACTCTCATTCAGGCCTCAGGTGGCTCCCGTTACGGAAAGCTGCAACCCCAGCAACTCTCAGGGTTCCCTTGGGGTTTCTGTTTGTTCCGTTCCTGCCCTTCCGCACAGGCCCGTGCCAATTAGCTCGGCCGGCACGGCGGGCGGCACCAGATTGTCTTCCTTCCCTATAGCTGCTGAAATTTCTTTAGGAAAACATTGTCCGCATCAGCAGAAAACCCAGGAAACCCGATTCAACCCCAGGCCTGCCTCCTGCCTGTGCCTGGCACCCGTGATGCCGGGCATCGGAGGGCCCGGCGTGTAAACAGAGGCGGCCGGCACCGGCGGCCAAGTCGCACACATCCATTATTCATGCGCACATGTGTGAATGCACAATGTAGAACCGGCGGCAGGATGAGGCAGCCGGGGCCCGGGGAAGGAAAAGCCTGGACGACGACACAGGCGGAGAGGCGAGGCAACAATGATACGGGGGCTCACCTTGTCTGAATTCTCCTCCATGTAGCGTAAGGTATACTTGTCGGCGTTGAGTAGATGAAACAGGTAGCCGTTCACGTTCACTCTGGCTCCGATATACAGCTCCTCAGCCTTGATGTATTCAGAGGGTTCGCTTTTAAAGACTTCTTGTCCAGGCTTCTTCACACGGCTTCTTTTCAGGAACATCCCACCGGTAAACCCTATAGAAAAAGCAGAGAGTTTAATGAGGAGCCTTTATTCTTCACAGAACCACGTGGCTCGCTTTCAGAGGAACTTCGTGTTCAAACACAGACCGTACAACTTGGCCTGTGAACCCACGGCTGCCGAGTGTTCTCAGACTTAAGGGAGAATGAGTGAACGACAAGGCTCCCTAGGTGAATGTGTGGAGGAGGAAAAGGTAGGACATTCCAGCCTTTTCTTTCCTCTCTCTGCTCCCTTTCCCAAACCACATGCTTAAAATAAACACCGATCGTGTTGCCTGCTACAGACCCAGAAGCCGAGTGGGAACTGAGGCATCAAGAAAATTCCCAGCTTTAGAGCCCATGTGGATAGTACCATGTAGAACATTCCTTACTTGAGCTTATTTCCACCTATTTGTTTCAGATGATGTCTTATGCTTATCACCACATGCAGGTTAAGCAGATGATGCCCTGCTTTTGATGTTTGTTTATTTTTGAGAGAGAGAGAGCGAGTGAGCATGTGCACACGAATGGGGGAGGGGCAGGAAGAGTCAGAGACACAAAATCCGAAGCAGTCTCCAGCTCTGAGCTGTCAGCACAGGGCCTGACACGGGGCTCGAACTCATGAAATCGAACTTATGAACCGCGAGATCATGACGTGAGCCGAAGTCAGACACTCAACCGACTGAGCCACCCAGGCGCCCCAAAGACGCCCTGCTTCTGGAAAGGAGCTTACTTAACTGTCTGAAGAGAACTATGGGAGTCTGTAACTTTTTAAAAATTTTTCCTACAGGCTACCTATCTTTGCTTCTTTTAGCAATGCCACACGGTTCTTACTTTCCAGAATTCTGACCGGTTCATCTGCTCTCCTCTGGGGGTTATTTGCTGGGCGATCTTCAGGAGTTATTTCACCTCTCTGAACCCCTCTGAATTCTCACCAATAAAATGGGAATGAAATTTGCAGGGGGCTATGAAAACGTGCCCTTCAGGTCATCTGTTGTGGGGAACACAGCTGGCAAAGGACTCGGCAGCTGGGCTCTGAAAACTACCCCCGGGCCTGCGTCGCGGCCATGCTTCCCACAGTCTGCTGGGAAAGGCAGGCATTATTGAGGTCGGCCCATTCCCGCAAGATGGAGGCCCCACCAAACGAGCGGCTTTGGCTCCAGGACCCCCGGTCAGTCTTGCTGAAATTTGCTCCGAGCCACCCTGCAGTCTAAGACTTTCTCTTTCCTTTCATCCTTCCCTCTGTCCTTCACAGGAGTCAGACACGCACTGCCATCTAGTCACTCTCTGGCCCCCTCGGGCTCCTTCTACAATTTCCCTTGCCGACATTTTCCCTAAAAAAACCTCTCGGACGTTCAGTCTCATCTTGAGGTTTGCCCCTTGGAGGATCCTGACGAACACAAAACCTCATAAAGTTCTTGTAAGGATAACCGTGGGTATTCAATCGTGGCTATTATAATTAGTAAGCTTATGCTTGACTTCCAGCACCCTGTTTTCTGAAAGCTGCCATCTGTTTGGCCAGACTCTCCCCCATTCTAGATGTACAGAGTTTATTTGCTTTTTTAATTTTGTTTGTAGGCTCCCCCACCCAACACAGGGCTTGAACTTCCCACCCTGAGATCCAGAGTCACATGCTGTACCAACTGAGGCAGCCAGGCACCGCCCCCAGAGTGGATCTTTTGACCTTTAAGAGCTGGACTCCTATGTGATTTCTTATTTTAAGGTTTGATCCATTATTCAAAGGACTCTGCAGCCCGACGGAGTTATACAAATCATTCATTATTCATTGGCGTGCAGAATGGCTCCTACAAGCTCGTAATGGCTCCCATTAAATTTTTAGGGATTCTGCAAGCCAGTTGTTAGAGCTGCTTGCTTGAAATGGACTATGGTTGGGATATCTACAATCACGGCAATCGGCAAACGTTGTTTACAAATTGGGGCTTTTACATTTTCTTCCGAGAGCCAGCACACCACTGATCACTCTTCCCAAATGTGCTTTCAGCACAGATAAGTTTTAAGCATGTTGCTACCCGGAACAGAGCCCTACGTCAAAGTCTGTGGCTCAAGTCAGCTATGCCCGTGGTATCAGCCCACTGCAGAGACGCATTCTGTGTGCCTGGGTGCTCGCTAGAACTGTGGCAGGAGCCTCAGACAGACAGAGAAGCCAGAGGAAGGCAGATATTGAAGACGCAATGTGTTCATCTGAGATCATCTTAAAGTTAAGCATAAATTTTATAAGGGGTGCTCAAAAACAGAGATTTCCCCATCTGGCCATCTTTGGGTGGAACTGGTGATAGACCATGATTCTGAAGCTCCTGGATTCCCCAGAGGGACCTCAGAGGCCACGGAGGAAAGGGGGGACAGTGTCCAAAAGGAAGCATCTGGAGTTCCCAGCCCTGAGTCAACCAAACTGTTCCTCATTTTATATGTCTGGGTTCCCATTTAAGGGAACTTTGTAAAATGGACTTCAGTGGTTAAAAAGAAGAAGAAGAAGAAAGTCACTATCTTAGTCATCTAGACTATAAAATCAGACCATGCTCTCTAACGTTCCAAATGAAAAGGCGGGGGGGGGGGGGCGCCTGGGTGGCTCAGTTGGCTAAGCATCTGACTCTTGATTTCGTATCAGGTCAGGATCGTATGGTTGGTGGGATTGAGCCCCACGTCAGGCTCAGAGTAGACAGCGCAGAGTCTCCTTGGGATTCTGTCTCTTCTCTCTCTGTCTCTTTGCCCCTCCCCCACTCATGCACACATGCATGCTCTCTCTCAAAATAAAGAAATAAATATTTTTTAAAATGCAGAGACAGTTACTTGTTCTGAGAAAATTGCTAGAAGAGCTAGGTCTCTTACCTGAATTCCTCTCTATTGGTTCAAACACTGAAATTGTGTCATCGCTGAGAAAGTACGAAATAACAAACATCCTGTCCAAGTCCATACATTTGTGCGTGATCAGTTTTGCAAAAAAACGGAGTATATTGCTTATGTTGCCATAGCTAAATGGAAGAGAAATGAGAGTTATAGCCTTGTTACGTGTTTTAAAAACCTGCAAAAGGCGTGCTATGTTTTTTTCTTTAATTGCAGTCTCAGTGACTTACAAGATGCTATCAGTTTCAGGTATACGACATAATGATTCATTATGATCGCCACAATAATTTTTTTAATGTTTTATTTATTTCTGAGGGAGAGAGAGAGAGCGAGCGAGCGAGCAGGGGAGAGTGAGAGAGAAAGAAGATACAAAATCTGAAACAGGCTCCAGGCTCTGAGCTGGCAGTCAGCACAGAGCCCGACGCGGGGCTCAAACCCACGAACTGGGAGATCACGACCTGAGCCGAAGTCGGAGGCTTAACCGACTGAACCACCCAGGCGCCCCGATCACCGCAGTAAGTTTACCTCCCATCCATCATCACATACAGTTATGTGTTGTGGTTCTTGTGATGAGAACTTTTAAGATCTACTCTCTTCACAACGTTCAAACGTGCAATCCGGTATTATTAACTATAATCACCATACTGTAGATCACATCCCCAGGACTTATTTATTTTATAACTGCAAGTTTATACCTGCTTGTACCTCCTTCACCCATCTCCCTCATCCACTGGGTGTGCTATGCTTTGAAGACAGAAGCATAAACTCTCTCACGTTGAAAAAGTTCAACCACCTTCTTATTAAGGCTTTCAATCTATATGCAGAGCCATTTTCTCAGTCAGTTAAAATATCCCTTAATCTTCAGATGGCCAGGGAAAGTGCCCCCTGGGAAAATGTACCCAAAACGAAGGTCGTAAACTCACTCCTCAAACCAGCTGCCCTGAACAGCCTGGAGCCACTGTTTCATGTTCACCTCCCACATTCTCAGCTCCTATTTCCTTGCTTCTTTCCAGCCGCCCATCTTCTCCTCCCTGATCTACTCCCCCAGCTCCCCACCATCTTCCCCCGACTCCTTCAAGAGAAAAAAGACCTCTTGCCTTTCAAGTACTACACTAAATATTATAGACCTGCCCCTTTATAGCACTTAACCACCCATACCGTGAGCGCCTAGGACGTGTCTTATTAATACTAATACAACACAATAATATTAATAGAATACTTTTCGCATTGTAAGTACTCGATAAATGTAGAACGTTGTTAAAAGATCCACACAGATCGAAATTTGCACTTAGAACTCCATGCATGAATACAATAGGCCAGTAGATGGAAGGAGGGATCAAAGTCTAGAATCAAAAGGTCCCGGGGATGCCCAGGTGGCTTAGTCGGTTAAGTGTCTTGACTCTTGGTTTCAGCCCAGGTCATGATCTCACGGTTCAGGAGTTCAAGGCCCGCGTCAGGCTCTACCCGGACAGCATAGAGCCTGCTTGGGATTCTCTCTCCCTTCCCTCTCTCTCTGCTCTTCCGCGGCTTATGCGTGCTCTCTCTCAAAATTAAATAAAACATTAAAAAAAAAAAGTTCCCAAAGTTCACTGCCTGGTCATTGAAGAAATTAATTTATGGTCCATGAGCAGAAGAACTGGCTGTGGGTATCAGCTAGTGAATGGTGGCCTCTGTAACACACTAAACCCTTGGGGAGGTCTTTGGTAATCAAAATCCTTGCCTCAAGGAGGCACAGAGTAAAAGAAGCCATGAACTTCATCACATCCCTGTCACCGCTCGAAGCAGGGAGGCTCTCACTTTCAGACTCTCCTATGCTGAAATTCATTCTTACCCCCAGGGTCAAGGCGATGAAGACACAACACCAAAAATCATATTTCCGATTTGCCGTTCTCTGCCCCTTTCTCTGACTGTCTAGAGAAACAGGGCTTGAAAAGCATGGTGCCAAATTCCCAGCTATGTTGGCATAAGGCCTCATGTGAGACGGAAAGCAGCAGTTTGGAAGGCTGGCCTTAGGGTAGCCGGGGCCAAATAGCCAGGTGTCCAAAGCTCTGTCTTCTTCCTTCCTAGTTTCCGTGGCTTCGCATAGCTCTCAGATACCATGGGGCAGCTAAACCTCATCAACCATCTTCTCTGGTCCGTAACTGAATTTGTAAGTAATAGGTTTTGGGGGCGCCCGGGTGGCTCAGTCGGCTAAGCGTCTGACTCTTGATTTCGGCTCAGATCATGATCTCACGGTTTGTGAGTTCGAGCCCTGCATGGCGCTCTGCGCAGTGTGGAGCCTGCTTGGGATTCTCTCTCTGCCCCTCACTTGCACTCTCTCAGAGATAAATAAACCTTTAAAAAAAAATAGTAAGTTGGGGTGCCTGGGTGGCTCAGTCGGTTAAGCGTCCGACTTTCGCTTAGGTCATGATCTCACGGTTCATGAGTTTGAGCCCCACGTCGGGCTCTGTGCTGACAGCCAGCTCAGAGCCTGGAACCTGTTTCAGATTCTGTGTCTCCCTCTCTCTCTGACCCTCCCCTGTTCATGCTCGCTGTTACTCTCCCTCTCTCAGAAATAAAAACATTAAAAAAATTAAAAAAAAAAACAGTAAGTAACAGATCATATAACCCCCGTCTCATGAAGGACCCAGTAACTTTTACAGATGCCTGATAATACCACCCAAACAACCGAAGGAAGTTTCACATCAGGCCAGATGAACACGATGGTACACTTAGTGTCTTAGAACTTACGTTTAGACGTACGTTTAGACGTGTGTACGTTTAGTGTGGGTTTTTCACACTTAAGATGCCATTTTGGCACCTAAGTCTTGTGTTGCGGACGGCTCATCAATACGGAATATAATTTCCTCAAACAAAATCTTTAGAGCTGCGGTTCACGAACTTCGTTGTGTTTACAAGTCACCCAGGGAATTGTGAAATATACAGAAGCCAGAGTCCTACCCCCACGGATGCAGATCCAGTAGTTGGCTGGCATCTCTAGAAACCTGCATTTTTAATAAGCTGCCCAGGAGAGTCTGACAAAGTGGTCCCCCAGAGCATTCTTTGAAAAACACTGCAAGTATCTTCAGCTGTTTCCTTGACTAATAAGCTAATTATCAAAATTCTCTTAACTCTCTCTTTATCGCAATACTCCTAGCGCTCGAAACGCTAGCATTTTCCCTGCTTCCCATTATATCACCTCTATCGCTCCATCTGGCTTTCTGGGCCATGGACAGGTTCAAACACACACATCTACACATTGTTTTTCATAACCACCTACAGCGTATGGTAGAGTCTTGAACGACACGGGTTTGAACTGCACAGGTCCACTTCCGTGTGGATTGCGGTTTTGTTTTATAAATACAGTACTCTACAAGGACTAGCTTGGCTATCCACCTCTCTGTGTATATTCACTCCCTTGGTGACCTTTTCTAATATCATGTCTCCAAATCCCATACCGATGACTTCCATACTTCAATCTCTAACTCAGACCTCTCTCCCAAACCACAGACGTGTAGACACCCAACTGCCTACTCGGTATCTCCACTTGACAGCTCATAGACATCTCATAGTTCACTTGTACCCATACTACTCTCCCTATAGTCTTTCCCATCTCGGTAGATGGCAATTCTATCTTTCCAGGGGCTCAGGCCAAAACCTTGGGGGGTCATCTTTACAAGTGCCTCTCTTCTTTCAGACCTCATGTCCAGATCTGTCAGGGAATCCCATCAGTTCGACCTTTCAAAATATTTCTGGAACCAGTCTCATCATTTCCACAGCACCCACCCAGATCCAAGCCATCTCTTCTCTGGGACCGCTGCAGTAGCCTCTGAACTAACCTTGACTCCTACCATCGCCTTTCTACGATCTATTCTCGACACTGCAGCTAGAGTGATTCTTTTATTTTTTTTATTATTATTTTTTAAAATATTTTTATTTATTTCTAGGAGAGAGAGAGAGCGTGAGCAGGGGAGGGTCAGAGAGACAGGGAGACACAGACTCTGAAATAGGCTCCAGGCTCTGAGCTGGCAGTCAGCACAGAGCCCGACGCGGGGCTCGAACCCACGAACTGTGAGATCATGACCTAAGCGAAAGTCAGGCGCTTAACCGACTAAGCCACCCAGGCGCCCCTTATTTATTTGAGAGAGAGAACGCGTGAGTCAGGAGAGGGGCAGGGCTGGGAGAGAGAGAGAATCTCAAATAGGCTCCAGACTCAGCATGGAGCCTGATGTGGGGCTCGATTCCATAACCCTGGGATCATGACCTGAGCCAAAAATCAAGAGTGGGGGTTTGGGGCTCCTGGGTGTCTCAGTCGGTTGAGCGACTGACTCTTGGTTTTGGCTCAGGTCACGATCTCCTGGTTCGGGAGTTCGAGCCCCACGTCAGATGCTGCACCGACAGCACAGAGCCTGCCACCCAGGCACCCCTGGAGTGATTCTTTTAGTATGTAAATGAGATCAAGTCACTCCCCCCGCTCTAACTTCCCAATGGCTCCCCTTATCACTTGAAGACAAAAGAATCCTTTTTTTTTTTTTTTTTTTTTTAAAAAGAATCCTTATAATGGTCTACAAGGTCCAATAGGATTGGGTCCCCTGTTACCTCTCTTCATCTGTCTACCCTCTTCTTCACTCATGTTCTATCCAAACAGCCTGCTCTTTGCTCGGGCTCCTGACACCAATGCTTCCTTCTGCTAACCACAGGTTTCCTCTCCTTAGTAAGGTCCACCCAGACCAGGCTATTTTGGTTAAAATGCATATTTGTTTTTGAGAGCGAGCGAGCATGTGCACGCACAAGCAGGGGAAAAGCAGAGAGAGAGGGAGCCAGGGGATCCAAAGTGGGCTCTGTGCTGATAGCAGCGAGCCCGACGTGGGGCTCGAACTCACAGACCGCGAGATCATGACCTGAGCCCAAGTTGGACGTTTAACTGACTGACCCACCCAGGTGCCCCAGACCACTCTATTTCAAAAAAAATGAAATTGGGGGTGCTCCTCAGCCCCACACTACCAGCTCCTCTTTATTCTTTTCCTAGCAACTTATCACCATCTTGACTTTTTCCGTGGCATTTAACGCCTTCTACATAGAATGAACTTCTTTATTATCGGTACCACGCACTGTCTGCCTCCCCCAGCTAGAATGCACGTTCTAGGAG